TCATTATTTTCCATAATGTAATGATAAAAATTAAACTTTCATATATTTTAGATTCATTGCACACCAACTGAAATATTTCAGGTCTTTTATTGTTTTAATACTGATGATTTTGGCATACAGCTCATGAAAACCCAAAATTCCTATCTCAAAAAATTTGCATATCATGAAAAGGGTCTCTAAACGAGCTATTAACCTAATCATCTGAATCAACTAATTAACTCTAAACACCTGCAAAAGATTCCTGAGGCTTTTAAAAACTCCCAGCCTGTTTCATTACTCAAAACCGCAATCATGGGTAAGACTGCTGACCTGACTGCTGTCCAGAAGGCCATCATTGACACCCTCAAGCAAGAGGGTAAGACAGAAAGAAATTTCTGAACAAATAGGCTGTTCCCAGAGTGCTGTATCAAGGCACCTCAGTGGGAAGTCTGTGGGAAGGAAAAAGTGTGGCAAAAAACGCTGCACAACGAGAAGAGGTGACCGGACCCTGAGGAAGATTGTGGAGAAGGACCGATTCCAGAGCTTGGGGGACCTGCGGAAGCAGTGGACTGAGTCTGGAGTAGAAACATCCAGAGCCACCGTGCACAGGCGTGTGCAGGACATGGGCTACAGGTGCCGCATTCCCCAGGTCAAGCCACTTTTGAACCAGAAACAGCGGCAGCAGCGCCTGACCTGGGCTACAGAGAAGCAGCACTGGACTGTTGCTCAGTTTTGCATGTCATTCGGAAATCAAGGTGCCAGAGTCTGGAGGAAGACTGGGGAGAAGGAAATGCCAAAATGCCTGAAGTCCAGTGTCAAGTACCCACAGTCAGTGATGGTCTGGGGTGCCATGTCAGCTGCTGGTGTTGGTGCACTGTGTTTTATCAAGGGCAGGGTCAATGCAGCTAGCTATCAGGAGATTTTGGAGCACTTCATGCTTCCATCTGCTGAAAAGCTTTATGGAGATGAAGATTTCATTTTTCAGCACGACCTGGCACCTGCTCACAGTGCCAAAACCACTGGTAAATGGTTTACTGACCATGGTATTACTGTGCTCAATTGGCCTGCCAGCTCTCCTGACCTGAACCCCATAGAGAATCTGTGGGATATTGTGAAGAGAAAGTTGAGAGACGCAAGACCCAACACTCTGGATGAGCTTAAGGCCGCTATCGAAGCATCCTGGGCCTCCATAACACCTCAGCAGTGCCACAGGCTGATTGCCTCCATGCCACGCCGCATTGAAGCAGTCATTTCTGCAAAAGGATTCCCGACCAAGTATTGACTATTGAGTGTATAACTGAACATAATTATTTGAAGGTTGACTTTTTTTGTATTAAAAACACTTCTTTTATTGGTCGGATGAAATATGCTAATTTTTTGAGACAGGAATTTTGGGTTTTCATGAGCTGTATGCCAAAATCATCAGTATTAAAACAATAAAAGACCTAAATATTTCAGTTGGTGTGCAATGAATCTAAAATATATGAAAGTTTAATTTTTATCATTACATTATGGAAAATAATTAACTTTATCACAATATGCTAATTTTTTGAGAAGGACCTGTATATATATATATAGTTGCAATCAAAATGATTCAACCCCCATTGCAAATCAGGTTTATTGGCTAAATGTACAGACTTTCAGCTGTTTGCAATGAACAAATCAAACAAACGTAATTGAAAAAGCTCAACACAACAGATGTTTCAAGTGGTTTTCCCAAATTTAACTGAAAATGCAACTTTTAATGAGTTCTGCAGTCTCAAAATGATTATATTTACATTTACATTTATGCAGTTGGCAGACTCTTTTATCCAAAGCGACTTGCATTGCATTTCAAGGAAAACATTTACATTCTTATCAGTTCTTGCTTTCCCTGGAAATCGAACCTATGACCTTGGCGTTGCAAGCACCAGCACTCTACTGTCTGAGCTATACATAATATAAAACTATGCAAAAATATATAAATAAATAAAAATCATTTATTTATCAATTATTGGCCATAACACAACAGCTTATTGAATCATGAATTTTCATATTAGTTCCTTTAAAAAATTTTTTTACATGACTAAAATGTTCAAACTAAAAGTTGATATTATATTATTGCAAGATCATTATTAATGTCAGTAGTTTTGCGAGTAGCGTGTGTGTGTCGATCCTGTTTGTTTGCATTCATGTTTCAGCTCATCACAGAGTTTGTGTCGTCTGACTTCAGTTCACTTCATTAGCACATGTGCACATTAGCTTTGATCCGCCGCCAAAGCCCAGATGCATGCTGGGACTGGATGAGATCCAGGATGTGTGTGTGTGTGACTCACAGTCTGAGGGTTTTATTAGTGTTGTTTGTCTGAACATATGAAGATAATGCAGTGTAACACAGGCTGTAAAGAGACGGTAAACTGCTGTAGGAACATGAGTTTATGCAGAAAGTCATGTGACGTCGACCTCCCGCTGGCATTAATGTGAGTGCATGAGGCGATGAGAGTTGTTGAACAGCCGATTATTAATCAACAGTACGTTTACAGGCACAGATTCACTCTAATATATTACACAATCAATGATGCATCACTGGGAGTGTGTTTTCGTGTTACATGAATGTGAATTTGAGAGTAAATGTGTTGAATGGGCATTAAAACAGTGGTTTGGTTTTAGTGGTGCATTGCTCAGACTGGTGTGTGTGTGTGTGTGTGTGTTCAGTGTTCCAGCACGTGTGAAGGCGGATCTCAGCGACGGGTCGTGGTCTGTCAGGACGCTGACGGCCGAAGCACCAATCACTGCGACGAGAGGGTCAAACCCGACCAATCGAAGAGCTGCGACTCGGGACCCTGTCCTCACTGGAACTACGGCGTCTGGGGAGAGGTGAGACTCACTGATGAAGATGACGATGAGGAGTCAAACTAACTCTAATTAAATCATATTCATGTAAGGGGATCCTGACTTCATCTTAACATGATTAACAATTAAAATTCCGCCCAGCTGAAGTAGCTAGTGAGGTAAAAAAAAATAAAAAATAAAAAAATTATATATATATATATTATAATAATAATAATTATTATGTTTAATGATATCATTATTTTATTCATTAAAGTCAAGATAAATATTGATTGTAAATATGAAGTATTATTAATTCACTAAAAGTCTAAATATAGACTAGTAATAATTGTTATTATATTTACATATTTATATTTTATGTTATATTTATATTTTATTTAATTATAATTATTTTATTATTTCATAACAATAATAGTATAACAATGTAGTACTAATAATAAATGTTATTAGTTATTTATAATACAGTTATTATTTTATTGTCTATTATTTTATAATCCTCAATGTCCAACAAGACAAAATAAATATTCATTATAAATATTAAATATTTAATTCAGTAGTAAAAAACAAATTATACTTATTATATTTATAAAGTTGTATTTTGCTATATTATATTTATTATTTATATATTTTTCCTTTATTTAATAATTATTATTTTAAATGATTTTTAAATAATATTATTGTATTTATTATAAAAATTATTTATATTAATACTATTATTATATGTATTATATATTATATGTATTATTTGTATTTATAGTATATTTATTTAATAATTATTATTTTGAATGATAATATTCTAATAATGTAATATTATTAATAATAATAATAATAATACATTTTAAATTATATTATAGTATTTATTATTCTAACTGTATATTTTAATTTATTTGTAAATAATTATTTTGAATGATAATATTTATAATAATAAGAATAATAATAATAATAAGATTTTAAATATTTTATTAATTATTAAATGATTATAAATTATTATATAATAATGATTATTTTTTATATTTATTTTGAATAATATTATATATATATATATATATATATATATACAAATAATAATAATAATAAGTTTGTATTTTTTATTTAAAAATTCTATATTATTTTTTCTCTTTCTCTCTCTCTCTCTCTCTCTCTCTCTCTCTCTCTCTCTCTCTCTCTCTCTCTCTCTCTCTCTCTCTCTCTCTCTCTCTCTCTCTCTCTCTCTCTCTCTGCTGTAGTGCACGAGCTCGTGTGGTGGCGGTCAGCGGACTCGACTGGTGGTTTGCCAGCGTCCGACCGGTCAGCGATTGAGCGAGCAGAACTGTGATGTTCTGGAGAAACCTCTGGATGTGGAGCAGTGCAACGGCCAGCCCTGTCCCGGCTCGCTGTGGCTCAGACGCCCGTGGAAGCCGGTACGATAGCAGCTCTATGTGTGTGTGTGTGTGTGTGTGTGTGCGTGCGTGTGTGTGTGTGTGTGTGTGTCCTACAGATTCATCACGGGTTAAAGGGTGGTTCATTATGTTTCATTTACATTTAGTCATTTATGACTTACAAATGAGGACTAAAGCAAGCGAAATCACTTTTTAAGGACTACAACAAACGACTGATAGGGAGTAGACGAACTTCCTCCCGGGTTAGTGACATCACAAACCCTAAAATTTACATAAGCCCGCCTCGCATCAAAGGGCTCTATATGGCTCTGCTGATAACGAGCTGTTGAAGCTCCGCCCTCTGCGCCGGGAGCAGCAGCTCATTTGCATTTAAAGAGCCCACACACAAAACGACGCATTTTTGTTCACTCTCAAAAAAGTACAATTCTAACATCCTATAGAAGATTATCTGTGGTGTATTTCTAGCTAAAATTTCACACACACACTCTGTATCTTGTAATAGGGAGCATTATAGGAGCCCTTTAAAGGGTGCGTTCGTTCCGGTTGTTTGAGCTTCGTTCAGAAAGAGCAAAGCTCAGCCGTTTACTCTCTGTTTATAATGAAAGTCAGAATGAATCTTTAGGCCACACAGGAAGATTTCACAGGAACTCGTTAAAACACACACGGGTTCGAGCATTTCATAAATTACACCTCAAAAAAATGATGTTCTTCCTCAGAATTTTTGTCTTGTTTTCCAGTACAAATATTGAAACATTCTTAATATCTTATATCATTGTTCTTCTCCAGTAAATGTGTCTTGATTTCAGAAATATTTGTGCTGTAAAACGAGACTGAGGAAGAACATCATTTTTGACGTTGTATTGTCAGAAAAACACGAATCATTCGTGCGATTTTATTCGTACGAAATCTCGAGTTTGAGTTAGTCTTAGGTTCTGTAATCTAAAAACACAAGTGTATATTTGTGTATAAGAGTTTAATATTTTAATTATTATTATGACAATTACCCAGCAGCCATTTATTGTATATTATATTTGTATCTTTGTACAGAATGAGTATTTTTAAGTTCGGTTATATATATATATATATATTATTTAATAATTTTAAACTGGTGCTCGTGGTCTGATGTCGACTTGTACAGAGGAAAATAATTTTTGTCAGTGTTTTTTTGTTTTTAGTTGTGATGTGATGTGAAATTAGTTTTTCAAATATTAAACACAACCTGCAGTCATTTTCCTAATAGCTTGATATTTTTGCAGTGGATATAAACATATCAATGTTTAGATAGCGATTTGACAAATGTTGCGATTCTACGACGTGGACTGAAACACTCAAGGAAAACTTGACAAATGAAAGAAATACCTCATCGTTCAGTCTTCGTCTCGAATGCACTTGCAAAAAATATTAAGAAAACTAAGCAGAAATGTACGGAGCCCTGCACACGACATGCGGAGAAACATATTTACTAATTCCCTTGTTTTAAGTAAATCATGCACACGATATAATAATTCGTTCCCTCATTTGTGCGCACGATATAATTGGTTCCCTCGTTTGTGCGTACGATATTATTGGTTCCCTCGTTTGTGCATACGATATAATTGGTCCGAAGCGCACGATATAATTGGTTCCCTCGTTTGTGCGCACGATATAATTGGTTCCCTCGTTTTTGCCCACGATATAATTGGTTCCCTCGTTTGTGCGCACGATATAATTCGTTCCCTAGTTTGTGCGCACGATATAATTGGTTCCCTCGTTTGTGCATACGATATAATTGGTTCCCTCGTTTGTGCGCACGATATAATTGGTTCCCTCGTTTGTGCATACGATATAATTGGTTCCCTCGTTTGTGCGCACGATATAATTGGTTCCCTCGTTTGTGCGCACGATATAATTGGTTCCCTCGTTTGTGCGCACGATATAATTGGTTCCCTCGTTTGTGCCCACGATATAATTGGTTCCCTCGTTTGTGCATACGATATAATTGGTTCCCTCGTTTGTGCGCACGATATAATTGGTTCCCTCGTTTGTGCATACGATATAATTGGTTCCCTCGTTTGTGCGCACGATATAATTGGTTCCCTCGTTTGTGCGCACGATATAATTGGTTCCCTCGTTTGTGCGCACGATATAATTGGTTCCCTCGTTTGTGCCCACGATATAATTGGTTCCCTCGTTTGTGCGCACGATATAATTGGTTCCCTCGTTTGTGCGCACTATAATTAATTCCCTCATTTGCGCGCACGATATAATTGGTTCCCTGGTTTGTGCGTACGATATAATTGGTTCCCTCGTTTGTGCGCATGATATAATTCGTTCCCTAGTTTATGTGCACGATATAATTGGTTCCCTGGTTTGTGTGTACGATATAATTGGTTCCCTCGTTTGTGCCCACGATATAATTGGTTCCCTCGTTTGTGCGCACGATATAATTGGTTCCCTCGTTTGTGCGTACGATATAATTGATTCCCTCGTTTGTGCGCACGATATAATTGTTTCCCTCGTTTGTGCGCACGATATAATTGGTTCCCTCGTTTGTGCGCACGATATAATTGGTTCCCTCGTTTGTGCGCACTATAATTAATTCCCTCATTTGCGCGCACGATATAATTGGTTCCCTGGTTTGTGCGTACGAAATAATTGGTTCCCTCGTTTGTGCCCACGATATAATTGGTTCCCTCGTTTGTGCGCACGATATAATTGGTTCCCTCGTTTTTGCGCACGATATAATTGGTTACCTCGTTTGTGCGCAAGATATAATAATTCGTTCCCTCATTTGTGCACAGGATATAATTCGTTCCCTCGTTTGTGCCCACGATATAATTGGTTCCCTCGTTTGTGCGCACGATATAATTCGTTCCCTCGTTTGTGCGCTTGATATAATTGGTTCCCTAGTTTGTGCGCACGATATAATTGGTTCCCTCGTTTGTGCGCACGATATAATTGGTTCCCTGGTTTGTGCGTACGATATAATTGGTTTCCTCGTTTGTGCGTACGATATAATTGGTTCCCTCGTTTGTGCGCACGATATAATTGGTTCCCTCGTTTGTGCGCACGATATAATTCGTTCCCTCATTTGTACGCACGATATAATTGGATCCCTCGTTTGTGCGCACGATATAATTGGTTCCCTCGTTTGTGCGCACGATATAATTGGTTCCCTCGTTTGTGCGCACTATAATTAATTCCCTCATTTGCGCGCACGATATAATTCGTTCCCTAGTTTGTGCGCACGATATAATTCGTTCCCTGGTTTGTGTGTACGATATAATTGGTTCCCTCGTTTGTGCCCACGATATAATTGGTTCCCTCGTTTGTGCGCACGATATAATTGGTTCCCTCGTTTGTGCGCACGATATAATTGGTTCCCTCGTTTGTGCGCACGATATAATTGGTTCCCTCGTTTGTGCGTACGATATAATTGATTCCCTCGTTTGTGCGCACGATATAATTGGTTCCCTCGTTTGTGCGCACGATATAATTGGTTCCCTCGTTTGTGCGCACGATATAATTGGTTCCCTCGTTTGTGCGCACTATATAATTGGTTCCCTGGTTTGTGTGTACGATATAATTGGTTCCCTCGTTTGTGCCCACGATATAATTGGTTCCCTCGTTGGTGCGCACGATATAATTGGTTCCCTCGTTTGTGTGTACGATATAATTGGTTCCCTGGTTTGTGTGTACGATATAATTGGTTACCTCGTTTGTCCCCACGATATAATTGGTTCCCTCGTTTGTGCGCACGATATAATTCGTTCCCTAGTTTGTGCGCACGATATAATTGGTTCCCTGGTTTGTGTGTACGATATAATTGGTTCCCTCGTTTGTGCCCACGATATAATTGGTTCCCTCGTTTGTGCGCACGATATAATTGGTTCCCTCGTTTGTGCATACGATATAATTGATTCCCTCGTTTGTGCGCACGATATAATTGGTTCCCTCGTTTGTGCGCACGATATAATTGGTTCCCTCGTTTGTGCGCACGATATAATTGGTTCCCTCGTTTGTGCGCACTATAATTAATTCCCTCATTTGCGCGCACGATATAATTCGTTCCCTAGTTTGTGCGCACGATATAATTGGTTCCCTGGTTTGTGTGTACGATATAATTGGTTCCCTCGTTTGTGCCCACGATATAATTGGTTCCCTCGTTTGTGCGCACGATATAATTGGTTCCCTCGTTTGTGCGCACGATATAATTGGTTCCCTCGTTTGTGCGCACGATATAATTGGTTCCCTCGTTTGTGCGTACGATATAATTGATTCCCTCGTTTGTGCGCACGATATAATTGGTTCCCTCGTTTGTGCGCACGATATAATTGGTTCCCTCGTTTGTGCGCACGATATAATTGGTTCCCTCGTTTGTGCGCACTATATAATTGGTTCCCTGGTTTGTGTGTACGATATAATTGGTTCCCTCGTTTGTGCCCACGATATAATTGGTTCCCTCGTTGGTGCGCACGATATAATTGGTTCCCTCGTTTGTGTGTACGATATAATTGGTTCCCTGGTTTGTGTGTACGATATAATTGGTTCCCTCGTTTGTGCGCACGATATAATTCGTTCCCTCATTTGTGCGCACGATATAATTGGTTCCCTGGTTTGTGTGTACGATATAATTGGTTCCCTCGTTTGTGCCCACGATATAATTGGTTCCCTCGTTTGTGCGCACGATATAATTGGTTCCCTCGTTTGTGCATACGATATAATTGATTCCCTCGTTTGTGCGCACGATATAATTGGTTCCCTCGTTTGTGCGCACGATATAATTGGTTCCCTCGTTTGTGCGCACGATATAATTGGTTCCCTCGTTTGTGCGCACTATAATTAATTCCCTCATTTGCGCGCACGATATAATTGGTTCCCTGGTTTGTGCGTACGATATAATTGGTTCCCTCGTTTGTGCCCACGATATAATTGGTTCCCTCGTTTGTGGGCACGATATAATTGGTTCCCTCGTTTCTGCGCACGATATAATTGGTTACCTCGTTTGTGCGCACGATATAATAATTCGTTCCCTCATTTGT